AGAGAGGGCAGAGAGAGAGAGAGACAGAGAGAGCAGAGAGAGAGAGAGAGAGGCAGCTCAGTCACACTTAAATCCAGATTCGTCCTCACCGAGTCCCACCACCAAGGGAGCGCCAGCAAGGAGATGCACATATGGGGATCCCCACGCAGTGAATAATTGTGGTGTGTGTGTGTGCGGGCGAGGGTGTGTGTGTGTGTGCGTGCGTGCGTGTGTTTGTGGTGTGTGTGGCGTGTTTGTGGTGTGTTTGTGGTGTGTGTGGTGGGTTTGTGGTGTGATTGTGTGTGCGCGTGCGTGCGTGCGTGCGTGCGTCCGTGCGTGTGTGTGTGTGTGTGTATGCGTGCGCGCATGTTGATGCCTGCGTTGCTGCGCCATCCGGAGGCGTCTGTGTGCCCCTTGCACTGGACAGCGCACGCCTTTACGTGCTCCTCTGCTTTGTTCTCCGTCGTATTTGTGCGGCCGAACCGCCGTACTGCTCGTCTTCGTCTTCGGGCAGCGTCACAATATTCTCACTCGCCACCCACGTCCAGGTGGCCCATGGGCGATCGATCCACTGGGATCCCGCTTCTGAGGGCCCGTCCGCGCGCGCTAGTTCCGTGCTGCTTTCTCGACTTGCTCCGCCTTGTCGCTGCGCGCGAGGCCGCGATCGCCAAAAAGAGCGCATGTTCATGCTGCAACGCCAGGTGGAATGCTGACGCGAATCGTGGCCCGCCTCAACTTCCGCTGCAGCGAAAGGACCCGTCACTCGGCCACAAGATGATAAAAAAAGAAAAAGTGCGTGCGTGCGCGTTTGCTTGTGTGATTGTGTGTGTGTCTGTGTGTTGCGCACGTGTGACTCTACTGTGCGCGACGTCTCGTCCACTGTGCCTTCGACAATGCTTGGTCGCAAGTGGCACTTTCATCTGCACCCCCTGCGAAGCCGACTTAAAAATGTGTCTGCGTGTGCGTGCGTGCGTGCGTGTGTGTGTTTTTGTGGTGTGTATGGTGTGTTTGTGGTGTGTTTGCTGTGTGTTGTGGTGTGTTTGTGGTGTGTTTGTGTGTGTGCGCGTGCGTGCGTGCGTGCGCCCACACTTGTGTGTGTGTGTGTGCGTGCGTGCGTGCGTGCGTGCGTGCATGTTGATGCCTGCGTTGCTGCGCCATCCGGAGGCGCCTGTGTGCTCCTTGCGCTGGACAGCGCACGCCTTTACGTGCTCCTCTGCCTCGTTCTCCGTCGTATTTGTGCGGCCGAACCGCCGTACTGCTCGTCTTCGTCTCCGGGCAGCGTCACAATATTCTCACTCGCCACCCACGTCCAGGTGGCCCATGGGCGATCGATCCACTGGGATCCCGCATCTGGGGGCCCGTCCGCGCGCGCTAGTTCCGTGCTGCTTTCTCGACTTGCTCCGCCTCGTCGCTGCGCGCGAAGCCGCGATCGCCAAAAAGGGCGCACCTTCATGCTGCAACGTCAGGTGGAATGCTGACGCGAATCGTGGCCCGCCTCAACTTCCGCTCCAGCGAAAAGACCCGTCGCTCGGCCGCAAGATGATAAAAAAAGAAAAAGTGCGTGCGTGCGCGTGTGATTGTGTGAGTGTGTGTGTATGTCTGTGTGTTGTGCACGTGTGACTTTACTGTGCGCGACGTCTCGTCCACTGTGCCTTCGACAATGCTTGGTCGCAAGTGGCACTTTCAGTTGCACCCCCTGCGAAGCCGACTTAAAAATGTGTGTGCGTGTGTGCGCGTGCGTGTGCGTATGCGTGTGCTTGTACGTGTGCGTGCGAGTGTGCGTGTGCGTGTGTGCGTGTGCGTATGCCTGTGCGTATGCGCGTGCGTGTACGTGTGCGTGTGTGTGCGTGTGCGTGTGCGTGCGCGTGTGCGTGTGCGTGTTCGTGTGGCTGTGCGTGTGCGTGTGCGTGTGCGTGTGCGCATACGCGTGCGCGTGCGAATGCGCGTGCGCGTGCGCGTGCGCGTACGCGTACGCGTGCGCGTGCGCGTGCGCGTGCGCGTGCGCGTGCGAGTGCGCGTGCGTGTGCGCGTGCGTGCGCGTGCGCGTGTGCGTGCGCGTGTGCGTGTGCGCGTGTGCGTGTGCGTGTGCGTGTGCGTGTGCTGTGCGTGTGCGCGTGTGCGTGTGCGTGTGCGTGTGCGTGCGCGTGAACGTATGCGTGTGCGTGTTTGTGTGCCTGTGCGCGTGCGCGTGCGTGTGCGTGTGCGTGCGCGTGTGCGTATGAGTGTGCGTGTGCGTGTGCGTGTGGGTGTGCACGTGCATGTGCGTGTGCGTGTGCGTGTGCGCGTTCGCGCGTGCGTGTGCGTGTGCATGTGCGTGTGCGTGTGTGTGTGTACATGCGTGTGTGCGAGTGTGCGCGTGTGCGCGTGCACGAGCGTGGACGTGTGTCTGTGCGCGTGTGTTCGCGTGCGCGCGTGCGCGCGTGCGCGTGCGCGCGTGCGCGTGGACGCGCGTGTGCGCGCGTGCGCGTGCGCGCGCGTGCGCGAGTGCGCACATGCGCGAGTGCGTGCACGCGTGCGCGTGCGCGCGTGTGCATACGTGCGCGCGCGCGGGCGCATGTGCGCGTGCGCACGTGCGCACGTATGCGTGTGTGCGCGTGTGCGCGTGTGCGCCCGTGCGCGCGTGCGCGCGTGCGCCCGTGCCCTTGTGCGCGGCCGCGCGCACGCGCGCGTTGGCGCCTGCGCGCGTGTGCGTCAGCGCGCGTGCGCTTGTGCGCGTGCGCGCGCGTGCGCGCGTGCGCGTGTGCGCGCGTGCGCGTCCGCGCGCGTGAGCGTGTGCGCGCGTGCGCGTGCGCATGTGTGCAATTTGGTGTAATGTGTTGTGCTGTGATGTGGTGTGGTGTGGTGTATTTGGTGTGGTGTGGTGTGTTGTGTTGCGCTGTGGTGTGGCGTGGTGTGCTCATTTGTGTTGTGTTGCGATGTGGCGTGGCGTGGTGTGATGTGGCGCTGCGTGGCGTGGCGTGGCATGTTGTGGCGTGGTGTGGCGTGGCGTGGCGTGGCGTGGCGTGGCGTGGTGCGGTGTGCAATATACGCAGTGGTGTGCTGTGCTGTGCTGTGCCGTGGCGTGGCGTGGCTTGGCGCGGCGTGGTGTTGTGCCGCGTGGCGTGGTTTGGCGTGGTAGGTTGTGCTGTGTTGTGTTGTGCTGTGGTGTGTTGTGGTGTGCTGTTTTGTTGTGTGGTGGGTTGAGTTGTGTAGTGTTTGTGTTTGTGTTTGTGCGTGCGTGTGTTTGTGCTTGTGCGTGTCCTTGTGGTTGTCCTTGTGTGTGGGTGGTGTTGCTTCTGCTTGTGCTTTTGTGTTTGTGGTTGCGTTTGCGTTTGAGGTGATGTGTGGTAATGTTTGTGTTTGAGATTGTGGTTGTGATTGTGCGCGTGTGTCTGTTTGTGATTGTGTTTGTGTTTCTGGTTGCAGTTGCAGTTGTGTGTGATTGCGGTTGCGGTTGTGGTTGCACTTGTGGTTGTGTGTGGTGTGTTTGTGTTTGCGTGTGTGATTGTATGTGCGTTTGTGTTTGTGGTTGTGTCTCTGCCTGTGTTTGCGTGTGGGTATGTGTGTGTTTGTGTTTGCGTTTGTGTTTGTGGTTGTGCTTGTGCTTGTGTGTTTGTGTGTGTGCGGGTACGTTTGTGTTTGTGTTTGTCGTTCTGCTTGTGGTTGTGATGGTGGTTGTGCATGTGATTGTGGTTGTGTTTGTGGTTGCGTTTGTGGTTGTGGTTGTGTTTGTGTTTGGGCGTGTCTGTTGTTGTGCCTGTGGTTGTGGTTGTGTTTCTCTGTAGGGTGGTCTTCGTGTGTGTGTGCGTTTGTGTTTGTGCTTGTGTGTATGTATATGTGCCTTTACGCGCGTGTGCGTTTGTGGTTGTGTTGTGCTTGTGTGTGCGTTGGTGGTTGTGTTTGTGGCTGTGGTTGCGTGTGCTTGTGCTTGCGTTTGTGTTGGTGTTTGTGTGTGGTTATGTATGTGGTTGTGGCTGTGCTTGTGTGTGCTTGCGTTTGTGTTTGTGTCTGTGTTTGTGGTTGTGTGTGTTTGTGGTCGTGTTTGTGTGTTTGTATGTGTGTGTGGTTGTCACTATGCTTATGTTTGCGTTTGCGGTTACGTTTGTGCTTGCAGTTGTGTTTGTGTTTGTGTGTTTGTGTGTGTTTGAAGTTGTGGTCGTGTTTGTGTGTCGTTGCGTTTGTGTCTGTGTCTGTGTTTGTGTTGGCGTTTGTGTTCGTCCATGTGTGCGTGTTTGTGTGTGTTTGCGTTTGTTGTTTGTGTTTGTGGTCGTGTTCGTATTTGCGTTTGCGTTTGCGGTTGTGTGTGTGGTTGTATTTGTGTATGTGTTTGTATGTGTGTTTGTGTTTGTCTTTGTGTTTGTGTTTGAATGCGTGTTTGCGTTTGCGAGTGTGTTCGTGCTTGTGTTTGTGGTTGTAGTTGTGGTTGTGTTTGTGCTTGTGTGTGTGGTTGTGGTTGCGTTGGTGTTTGTGCTTGTGGTTGTGCTTGTGGTTGTGTGTGGTGTGTGTACTTGTGTTTGTGCTCGTGCTTGTGTTTGTGTTTGTGCTTGCGTTTGCGGCTGCGGCTGTGCTTGTGCTTGTGTTTGTGCGCGCGTTGTGCACGTGCGCTGCGAAGCCTGTTGTGCTCGTCGAGGCCAGCGGGACAAGGAGGAGGGCGGGGAAGGAAGGGGAGTCGGAGGTTAATGCTGAGCGCTTTGGGGGCGGGCTCCGAGCGACAATCCACGATAGGGCCCAGGAGCCCAGGACATCTCTAAGCCCCTGAGAAGAAGATGGATGCACGGCCAGGCAGCTTTCGGCCGTGGCCTGCCTGGGGCGCCTCGCCAGCCGCCCGCACTCCACACACACACACACACACACACACATCCATCCACGGGAGCCGGAACGGCTCCCGCGGATGAGGAGATGATGATGATGATGAGGAGGAGGAGGAGGAGGAGGAGGAGGAGGGGCAAGAGGAGGAGGGGCAAGAGGAGGAGGAGGAGGAGGAGGAGGAGGAGGAGGAGGAGGAGGAGGGAGGAGGAGGAGGGAGGAGGAGCAGGAGGATGGCCAGGACGACGAAGCCTCGAGCGGCCGGGCGGCGTGCGCCCGCCGCGCCCCCTGCGCGCCCCCGCGCCCACGAGGCCCTCTAGTCGTCCACGGTCACCACCGGCTGCGCGGGGGCCCCGGCGCTCCTGGGGCGGACGAGCGCTGCGGCAGCGCCGACCCGCCCACCGCCGGCCGCCAGCGCAGCCACCAGCGCACCCGCCCCGCCGTGGGAGGTCAGCCAGGGCTCGTCGGCGCTCCCCCAGCGGGCCTTCTCCTGCCTCCGGGGAGCCAAGACACGCAGCACGGACATGAACTTTCGGAGCTCCGCGCGGATATCGGTTGCATCGGCCCTGACCCCCCGCCCTGGCGCGCGGCGCAGGGGGGGCACAGCGCCGACGCAAGAGATCGACGCTGAGCTCCGAAAGTCTACAGTCGGGCCGCTGAATTAAGGAACGCTAGATAAGGAACGAAGCCCCTTTTTGGCACCAGAAGCGCATGCGTGCACGAGGAGGGCTAGAGGAGGAACAACAGAATGATCGTAAGGAACATCGAGCCCAGTTCGTACCCAAACTGCTCCTTATTTCAGCGTCCTGACTGTATGCTGCTTGCTTCTTGGATGCCTGGCGGGCGCCATGCCCTTGCGGCACAGCGTCTGGAACAGGCCCTCCGCGGAGCACACGGCGGCCGTCAGCCGGGTGTCCACGCGGCCCTCCGCGGTGCCCTGCGAGCGCGCCGCTGCGGCCCTGTGCGCGAAGGAGCGCAGCTGCCCCGCGGCCTGGGCGTAGAGGTCGCACAGCCTGCGGGCGTCGTCCAGGGAGGAAGGAAAAGCGGCACGAACCTAAACGTTCGGGCTTCCGCGCGGCGTCTCGCATCGGCGCTGGGCCCCCCTGGCGGCGCCTCCGGCGCCGCCCCTGGGCGTGCTCCGCGCGCCAGCACGGGGCGGAGCCCAGCGCCGACCCGAGAGATCCGCGCGGGGCTCCGAAAGCTCACGCCCGCGGCCCCCTTTGCTTCGTCGAGTCCAGGTACCCGATGCCGTGCACGCCCACGCAGGCGGAGCGCAGCATCACGAGCAGCTCCCAGTCGAGGCAGGGCCTCGGGGCGCCCGGGCCCGCGCCCTCCCGCAGCAGCACCCCGAAGGTGCGGCGCAGCGTCTCGATCGCCACCGCGCGGGCCGCGGCCCAGAACTTGCTGGTCTGACCGTCTGCCTGGCCGAACCCCATCCCCACTGGCGTGGCGCTGGCCCCACTGGCCGAGTCAGCGCCGCCCCAGGTGGGCGTATGAGATACGGTGAGGGCATTGGATGAGGAACCATTGGTTCAGGAATCCAGGGTCTGGAAGCCGCTGGAGCTCCAATCGTGGATTGGCCATGGATAGTACTGCCGCCCTCATCAGATTAGGAATCCTCCAGGGTCTGAAGCGAATCCTCGAGGGCCCGAAGCCTCCTGGGCGCATTCCTTAACCAACGGCTACACTGTATCCCCGCTGGCGTGGCATTGGACCCACCGGACGACTTACCCCCCAGGTGGGGATACATGGTATACACTGTTCCCTTCGGGTTTCGCGGGGCGTATCCCCACCAGGGAGGCTGGGCTGGGGCCGAGATACCAAGGCCTAGGGGACGGGAATCGGTTAAGCGATGTTGTCTGCCTGCGGCTTCGTGCCGCGCGCCAGGACCACCAGGTTGCCTGAGAGAGGACACAACCGGCACGAGCATAGACGCTCGGAGGTCTGCGCCTGTTTCTTTGGTCGGCGACGGACCCCCCCAGCCAGGGCGCGGGGAGCGCGCCAGGGGAGGCCCCTTAGGCGACGCCAGGGGGGGTCCCGCGCCGATCCAAGAAATCCGCGCGGACCTCCGAAAGGTTATGCTGAGGGGCAGCGATAGGGGGGGGACCGGCGTAGGGGAAGAAACATGAACCTGGAATCGGCGATACATCGTCGATAGATCGGCGATGGGCCCCCGATAGCAAATCCGCACCTTCCTGAGCAGGGTGAGGCTATCGAGCCCCTATCGGCGATGAATGGGCGATTGGGGGTCGATGCATCCCCCTATGCCCATCCCTCCTATCACTGCCCCCGAAAAGGATATGCTTGTGCCTCATTCTCTTCTTCGGTCACCCGTCGTCGTCCGCAGCGCCTCCCACGCCGCCGGGCGCCCTTCCGCCAGGCCTCACGGGGGCGAAAAAACAGATCCGTATCTGCGGCCTCGCGGGCCGGGCCCCTGGGCCGCGACCCCGCGGATGCGGGGACCTGTCTGCTCGAAGGGGCCCCGCGCGGAGCGCACCCGTGCGAGCGCATATCCGCGGGATCGCGCCCCGGTATCCAAACCGCGAGGGCCTGGGCATGGAGACGTTCACAGGCGGTGAAGACCTCCGAGGGCCGCGGCGACCTCGGACACTGTCTGGGCGGAGACGCTGCAGGGCTTGAGCTCCTGCACGGGGCCCAGCGGGGTCGCGGGAGCTTCTGGGGGCGCCTCCAGGGAGGCCCCGGCAGGCAGCACCTGCCGCAGCGCCAGCTCGTGCAGCCTCAGGGCATAGGCGATCAGGCGGCATCTCATAGAGTTGTACTTGCGCCTCGCGAGCACGTGCTGCTCCCAGGGGTAGGGGACGTCCCCGACGCTCGAGTTCAGCTCTACGTGCGGCATCACCAGCAAGCCGATGTACCTGGAGGAACAAGCAGCGGCACAAGCACGCATTGTCGGAGCTCCGAGAGTTGATGTTTGTGCCGTTTCTTCTTCCTCGAGCACCCCTTCTCGGGGAACGTGTTGGGGACGGTGATGACCTTCATGATGCCCCCCGCCGCGTCGGCGAGCCTGCCCTCAACCTCCGCGTGGCGAGCCCTCTCGAGGTGGAGCAGGCACCCGTAGGTCGACCTCTCCTCGACGACTTTCTCCATGGCGCCGAAGGCAGCGGCGACGACGGCCTCCCTGCTCGCCTGCTCTGGCGTGTCCCTGCTCGCGGCCGCGCCGCCAGGGAGGTCCCGCGCCACCCGCAGCCGCAGCACCTGCAGGCGCCACAGCGGCTCGCGCTCCATGGCATCTCCGACCCCCTCGACGGCGGCCCTCGGCCGCGGCAGCGGGACTCGCGTCGGGAAGTGCCGGAGACTCGCGGGCTCCGCGCGGGATTCCCCGGAGGCGGCGGCCCCAGGGGCGGCGGGCCTCACCTGAGCGACGAAGAGAAACCAGTCTTGCGCACTACGACAGCGACCTTACGCCGCGGCTTGCACGGGCCGCCAGGGTGGCACGCCACATTAGGAACGAGGGCGCTCACGCGCGACCTTACGCGGGCAACTTGCGCGCTAAGGTCGGTGAAGGCGACCCTGGTTTACTGCGTGGCCCACCTTGAGAAGCCAAAAGGGTATACCGATACCCTCAGTCGGTCGCGAATCTGGCCGTGGCGACGAGGGCATCCCAGGGGCCCCGAAGAGGCGAAAACAAGGCAAGGGCGGCGGGAAATGGGTGCCCTTCCCTCCCCTGGCCACCCGCAGGCTCTCCGCAGGCACGTTCAACCGCTCGCCACTCTTCAGCCTGACGCGCCACCGCGGGGTCGCCTCCACGCGGTACTCCACGACGCCCTCGCGGCCGTTCAGCTCGGGCGCCCTGCTCAGCCCGTGCAGCTCCACCGAGGCGCCCGCGGCCAGCTGCGCCCGGGGGCACAGCCCGCCCTGCGCCGCCCACGACTCCACGTCGCAGGCGTCCCTCAGGAGGCCCAGGATGTCTGCGGGGAGCAGCGGGTCGCGGTGGCCCCCCGCGGCAGCCCCGCCCCGCCCGGACGCAAGCAGGCTCCACTGGCCTCTCGCGACGGCGTATGGCGCGTACCAGAGGTACGACCGGAGGAGCAGAGGACAGCACAGACACGCCCCGTCGGAGGTCCGCGTGGGCTTCCTGGGTCGGCGCTGGGCCCCCAGCCTCTGCCCCGGGCGGCACCTCTGGCGCCGCCACTGGCGCACTCCGCGCGCCCGGAGGGCGGCGCGTCCAGCTCCAGGAAGTCTGGGCGGACCTCCGAAAGTCCCGGGACATCCTCCGACGTTACACATGCTTCCAATCCGCGGCCCCAGAGGTCCCGACCCACTCCGGGGGGGTGGTCCTGCGCCCCGGCTCCGCTCTTGGCAGTCCTCGGGGCCTGTCCCGGGCCCTGGCGGCCGAGATCGAGGAGATTCGCCCAGACTGAAAAAAATCGTATCGTCAGAGATCTGGGTCTGTGCTGACGGCGTGCTTTCTCCTCCGCATGGCGGGGGGCGGCAGCCGTCGTCATCGGCGCTGCCGTAGACCAGCAGCGGGGAGCAGCCCGCGGCCGAGGCGGCGGCCCACGGCGCAGCGAAGGCGGGCAGTGCCCAAGAACCACCCCTCCGCGCCAGAAGCGCGCGCGTGCGCGGCATCCTCTCGGCCAGGTCGGTGCAGGACGCCAGGAGCCACGTCACCTTCTGGGCGGCGTCCTCGCTCCGCCCGCGCAGCCACAGCTGCTTCTCCTCGGAGTCGCGCGCTGGCTCGCCGGGCGCCCGGCCCCGCTCGCGGAAGGGCTCGAGCGCCAGCGACTGCCAGCGCGCACGGTACAGGGACAGCAGGTCCAGCTGCCTGGCGAGCCACTGGTTGGCCAGGTCGCGGCAGCGGCCGAGCGACTCCTCGATGGGCCCGCATCGGCTGGCGGTGGGGCTCCCAGTGGCGCTCAGCTCGGCCAGCCGCCCGAGCTCCGCGGTCAGCTCCTGCTCGCAGTGCGCCTCCAGCATCAGCGAGAGGACTCGGGCCTGCCCGTAGAGCCACCGGAGCCTGCCGCCCCATACGACGGGGCCCTGCCTGCCTCTGCCCCAGCACCGCAGCCGTTCGGTGAGGTCGTCGTCGCCAGCCTGCTTCTCGTCCTGCGCGAAGAACAGGCGCCGGAAGGCCACCGCAGCCCGAGCCCACGTTTCCCTGTCTGCACGGCGGCAGGCGGCGTCCTTCGCGGCGGTGCTCAGGAGCTTCATGCAGTCGGCCAGGTCCGCCTTCCTGGGCGACATGTCCGCGAGGGCGAGCGCGTAGGCTGCGTCCAGGGGGGGCATGGGCGGCACCTCCATGGCTGGGCCCACGTCAACGCAAGAGGCAGCAAGCTGCAGCGCCGCCACGCGCCCCCTCTCGACGAAATGGTCTGGACCCTCGGCCGCCTCGGGCGTGGCCGTGGCGGCTCCCGTGTGCTGCCGGGCGGGCCATTCCAGGCCCTGCAGCGCGTCCCGCGCGAGCTTCACCGCCTCGTGGGACGCGGCTGGCGTGCTACCGCAAAAGGCTGGCCCGTTCCTCGTCCTGCGAAGGTCCTGCGCCATCTCCACCAGCTCCTCCGGCAGCAACACCGGGTGACCCGGCAGCGAGTCGCCTGGGGAAACAAAACGGTGCCCATACCGCTGCTCCCCAGACCTCACCCAGGGTGCGTTCTGACCAGAATTTAGAAGCGAATCCAGCGGTGGCGACGAGGGCCTCCAAGGAGGCCCCAAAAAGGCGAAAACGAGGCCAAGGGTAGCAGTACCTGTACCATTTCCTCCTCTGATCGCCAGGGAACAGCCACGAGTCCAGGCGCGCCAAGACCCCCTGCAACAGCGCGGGTCGCACGGGCCGGGGCCCGCTGGGCGTACTGCCCTGCGCGCCCACCGCCAGCAGGCTCTGGTGCACCGCCAGGGCAAGGGAGAGCAGGTGCGGCGCGGGCGCCTGTGGGGGGGAATAAACCCAGCGAGTGCGGGAGAGCAGCGCGCATAACGTTCGACACCTCGCGGCAATCCCAGCAGAGGTCTGGAAAGCGGGTGTGCGACACGACTGCCCATAGTGTGTTGCAGCACTGCTCATGTGCTTCGACACCTGGCTTGAATTCGATACCGCTGCTCCCTGGACCTCTCCTGGGGTGCGTTGCGACCAGAATTTCGAGGAGAATCCAGCCGTGGCGACGAGGGCTCTCCAGGACGAGCAGCGGTGGCGGTATACCTCTTCCTCCTCCGAGCAGGGACGGCCTCCGCCGCGTCCACGCCCTCTGGGCCGCTGTAGGCCCACGGAGAGCTCAGGCGCTGCAGCTGCTCGGCGCTGCGGGCCGCTATCGGGCGCGGGGGCTCCGGGTCGACGCCGGGCAGCAGGCAGAGGCAGGCGAGGCCGCGGGCAAGCAGCCTGCACACCGCGTCGTCCAGCTCCGCGGCGGAGCGCTCGCCCGCGCTACCGCGCCCCGCCGCGCCGCAGAAGCCCGGCAGCGGGCAGCACCAGTCCTCGGGGGCGTCCAAGAGGGGGGCGTCCAAGAAAGGAGTTCGCAAATCATGGCCCGAGGTATGCGCGCGGCCCAAGGGAGGGGCGGGGGGTCAGGGAGCGCGTTGAGATACGAAGAGGGGCCATGAAATCTGCGCGGGGATGAGGCCACGACATCCCAGATGTCGTGGCCCCCGCCATAATGCCCCCCACCCCCTATTCACCACCCCCCCCCCTCTCCGACGCCCCCGAAGTCCGGCTCCCGCAGGTTGAGCAGGGCTTGGCGGCAGGCGGCGGCGTGCGGACTCCCAACCCGCGGCCTCGCCACGCCGTCTGCGGGTTGTGGCGCGGGTGCGTGGGCGTCCTCGCACTCGCCGCCGACGTCGTCGTCGTCGCGGTCGATGTCCAGCACCACCTGGAGCTGGAGCGAAGAGCGGAGAGCTTGGCCTCTCGGGTGGACCCCTGGCGCACGCCGACCGCTCAGCGACCCTCTGACCGTGAGGTATGGACCAAGGGCAGCGAGCTCCAGCGGACGTGCGCCGATCGAAAACTCCCAGGGCGCCAAGGATTGAAGAGCCCAGCCCAGACATCCGGCGTCTTGATTATTTCAATACGGGGTCCCGAGAAGCCCGACCCTTTCCCCGGGACGGGTTTCTAATCCCGAGTCGTTCTTGACAGTCCCAGGGCCCGGCGAGGGCCGTCGAAGGCCGAAAGCGGCTAGACACCTTCCATCGTGATCTGTTTCACGACGCGAGCATGATTGGGAAGACAACTACAGGAAGCGCCCATCATGAGAGGTGCATGGGCTCCTACACGTTTTCCACAGCCCAGCGCTCTTCGGGCCATATTCCCTCACGCCTGCCCTCCGAACGAGCTGACCCCACGGGAGGCGGCAGAGGAGCACCCGTTGGCTAGAACAAGGAACGTCAACATATACGTAAGTGTTTCCCAGCGCGGGCCCCAAACAGTGAACTCTTGCATCCTGGTTGTGCAAGCTACGTGGTGCAAACTATGTGGTGCGAGCTGTGCGTACTGCAAGCAACGTGTTGTCAGCTAGGTGTGGTGCAACTTTGTGTGGTGTTAGCGATGGGGTGCAAGCACTGTGTGGTGCAAGCTGCGTGTCGTGCAAGCTACGCGTGGTGCAAGATAATCGCGCAGGGTCTCTCATACCCTCCGAAAAACGGGAAACTGGATTGGAGCCCAACAATGAAATCCTCCTGGCGAAGAACCCAACCATATGCAGTTGTGAATACCGCGTTGTGGGCACCGTTTTCGGCGGAGGCCACGAAACGTGTGACGGTGTACCCCAATCGGCGGGAAACCTCATGTGAACCGTGCAACTGGGGCCTTCCGTGGAGCTCACCACGGGGGCCGCGAAACGTGTGAGGTGTGTGCCGAAATGAACGGGGAACCGCATGCGGACATTGTCACCAGGGCCTTCGGTGGAGTTCCATATGGGGCCACGAAACGTGTGAGGGGTGTGCCGAGATGGGCGGGCACCGCATGTGGATTTTGCCACTGGGGCCTTCGGTGGAGCTCCATATGGGGGCCACGAAACGCGTGAGGGGTGTGCCGAAATTGGCGGAGGACCGCACGTGGACTTTGCAATTGTTGCCTTCGGCGTAGCTCCCTACCGGGCCACGAAACGAGTGAGGTATGCCCGAATCGGCGAGGAACACCATGTTGATTTTGCCACTGGTGCGTTCCGTTGAGCTCCCTATGAGGCCACGAAACGTATGGGGTGTGCCAGAATGGGCAAAGAACCGCATGTGGACTCTACCACTGGAGCATTTGGTGGAGCTCCCGCTGGGGCCGCGAAGCGTGTGAGTGGTGTGCCGACATGAGCGGGGAGCTGCAAGTGAACATTGCCACCAGGGCCTTCGGTGGAGTTCCCTATGGGGCCACGAAACGTGTGAGGGGTGTGCCCAAAAGGGCGGGGAACAGCATGTGGACTTTACCATTGAGGCCTTACGTGGAGTCCCCTATTGGGCCGCGAAACGTGTGAGTGCGTGCCGAAATGGGCGGGGAACACCATGTGGACTTTGCCAGTGGGGCCTTGGGTGGAGCTCCCTATGGGGCCACGAATCGTGTGAGGGGCATGCCGAAATCGGCGGGGAACATGCAGATTTTGCCATTGGCGCCTTCGGTTGGATCTCCTACGGGGCCACGAGACGTGTAAGGGTGCGCCCCAACCGGCGGGAAACCGCATGTGGACGGTGCCTCTGGGGCCTTCGGTGAATTCCCTGTGGTGCCGCGAAAGGTCTGAGGGTGTGCTGAAATGAGCGGGGAATCGCATGCGAACATTGCCAACAGGGCTTTCGGTGGAGCCCCCTTTGGGGCCACGAAACGTGTGAAGGGTGTGCCGAAATTGGCGGGGAATCATATGTAGATTTTGCCACCGGGGCCTTCGGTGGAGTTCCCTCAAGGGGCCGCAAAACGTGTGAGGGGCATGCCAACATGGACGGGGAACCGCACGTGGGCTTTGCCACTGGGGCCTTCGGAAAAGCTCCATATGGGGCCACGAAAAATGCGAGGGTGTGCGCAAATTGGCGTGGAACCGCATGTAGGTTTTGCCACTGGAGCCTTTGGTGGGGCCTCCTGGGAGCTTCTTGGGGCGAAAGGCTAGACTTCTCGGGTCGTGGTCCCCCTCTTGGGGCCGTCTTGGGGCCCTCTTGGGCCGTCCTGGGCGCCTCTTGGGCCGTCTGGGAGCCCTCTTGAGCCGTTTTGGGGGCCTCTTGGGAGCCTCTTGGGCCGTCCTGGGGCGGTCTTGGGGGCCACTTGGGCCGTCGTCTATAAGCTAAAACTGCACGTTTTCCCAAGGAGAAAATGATTTTGGCCTCTTGGGGCCCTCTTGGGACGTCTCTTGGGCGCCTCTTGGGGCGTCTTGGAGGCCTCTTGGGACGTCTTGGGGCTGTCTTGGGCGGTCTTGGACTCTTCTGGGCCGAAAACATACAAAAGCCCAAGGGAAAGCCCGAAAACGGCCATTAGTTTATATCCTTCCAACCCTCCCCCCTCCCCTGACCCCTCCCTAGAGGACTTCGCCCAAAACACAACGTCATCACTCCGTTATCCGCCGCCCCCTGTTGATTCATCACAGGGGTGCCTAGCGTGCCGAATGATATGGTTTTGGCTCTTTTTCCAAATGAACTCCCCCTGGGGCTTCGGCCCGTCCCGCCGACCACCCAGAAAGGCGCTCAATCCGGAACCTCCACGATGAGGCACGATGGCCCAGGATGGCCTCCAAGATGGTCCAACATGACCCTCAAGATGCCTCCAAGATGGCCACGATGGCCTCCAAGACGGCTCAGATGGCCCCAAGATGCCTCCAAGACGGCCCGAGATGGCCTCAAGATGGTCTACGACGGCCCAAAAGGCCCGCAAGAGGCCTGCGAGACGGCCCAAGAGGCCTCCAAGGTCCTCCAGGAAGGCCCGAAGAGGCCAAAATCATTGATTGTCCTTAGGTTTTTGAAGGATTTTGGCATTTGCGCCTTTTCGGCTTCCCGACGGCCCAAGACGGCCCAAGAGGCCCCCAAGGTCGCCCCAAGATCGCCCAAGAGGCCTCCAACATGGCCCCATGACGGCCCAAGAGGCCCCCAAGACCGCCCCAAGAGGGCCCGAAGACGGCCCAAGACCTCCAAGACGCCCAAGATGGCCTCTAAGACGGCCCTGGAGCACCCCAAGAGGGCCCCAAGTCGGCCCAGAAAGACCCCCGAAATGGCTTCGGACGGCGTCAGACGGGCCAGGAGCCCACCAAGATGGCCGAAGGTGGCTCGCAGCTGGCCCAAGACGGCCCAAGAGGCCTCCAAGAGGGCCTCCAGGATTTTGACATTTGCTTCGTTTCGGCCTTCCGACGGCCCGATACGGCCCAAAAGCTCCCAAAGATCGCCCAAGGATCGCCCAAGAGGCCTCCAAGACGGCCCCAGAAAGGCCCAAGAGGCGCCCAAGACGGCCCCAAGAGGCCCCTAAGGCGGTCCAAGAGGCCTCCAAGACGCTCAAGATGGCCTCCAAGACGGCCCACGAGCCCTCCAAGACGCCCTCCAAGAAGGCCCGAAAGGGTCAAAATGGCCTCCAGGCGGGCAAGATGACCTTCAAGATGCCCACGTGTTCCCCGAAGGCTTTCCAAACCGACTCGGGGAACACATGGTCCGATAGCTTGGCAGGTCTGGCCTCAACGTTCGGCAACATAGGCGCTTCCAAAAAGGCAGGGGGCGGCGGTGATTCGCCGTAGGCGTCTTCGATCCTCATTAATACGATTAGTAATATGACCCGGGGATCCGATGTCTTCCCAGGGTACGTTCTGACTCGAATTTCGAAGCTAATCCAGCTGCGGCAACGAAGGCACCCCAGGAGCCGGAACCCCAAAAAGGCGAAGACGCTGCAGGGTCAGCGGCATGGATAACAGTAGGGCGGCGGCAAGGGCGAGGGGTAGCAGTAGGGTAAGGGCAGCAGTAGGGTAGCAGTAGGTACCACGTCTGGGTCTGATGGGCTCTGGCCCAGACTTATGTTGCTCCCGTCGTACTTGAAGACCACACTCCAGAAACAAATTCGAGCGCCCGGAAAAGTGTCGAAACAGTGTCGGACGAATGTCTCCCAGGACCCGACACGTAAAAACCATTAAGCTTCGGTACTTTCTTGGGGGGCTCAGAATTCTTTCTCGCGATCAAGGCTAAAGTTGGTTGGAACATCATTAGCCCAGACTCGCCTTGGCCGCCGGGGCTGCCGCAGCAACCAGGGCGTGCGCCGCCGCGGCGCTCGCCCACCGCTGGGCGCCCGCGCGCCACGCGGCGACCGTGGGGGAGTTGGCCCTGAGGCCACACGCGATCAGCGTGCTTGCGAGCGACAGCGGCGACTCACGCTCGGGCTCGCCGGGCGGAGCCTGATCGGGCGACGTTCAACCCAGACATCCGTGGCGGAGGGTTGTTGGTCGTTTTTGGCCTCTGCAGGAAGCTCCCGCTGGGCCCCTGGACCGTCAGAAACGACTCGGGATGAAAAAACAGCCCTGGGGGAAGAGTCTGGGCTTCTGGGGAGGGGGGGGGAGGGGGGGGGGGGGATGGGGGGGGGAGAGAGGGGGGGGGGAGAGAGGGGGGGGGGGGGGGGAAAGGGGGGGGGGGGGGGGGGGGGCAAAAACCCAGACACCAGATATCTGAGTCAACTAATCATCTCACCGATCCTGGATGGCTCGATCCTGGGCCCAGGATCGCCGCATGTGCCTTACTGCCCAAGCCAGGAAGGCGTAACACATAAGCGATCGCAGGTCCGCGCGGAACTATTGGATCGGCGCTGGACCCCCATTCCTGGCGCGCGGAGGCGGAGCGCGCCAAGAGCGGCGCCGCAGGCGCCGCCAGCGGGCCGAACCGAGCGCCGATCCAAGATGTCCGCGAGGAACTCCAAAGCTTTTGCTCATGTCGTTGCTTCTTCTTCGAGTATGCGCCGATCCGGGGCCCTCCTTTCCTCCTCTTCCTGCTCCTCCTCCTCCTCCTCCTCATGTTGTTCGTTCTTCTCCTGCTCCTCCTACCACTACTACTGCTACAACTTCTACTACAACTACAACAACAACAACAACAACAACAACAACAACAACAACAACTACTACTACTACTACTACTACTACTACTACTACTACCACTA